GCTTTAGTTGAGGGCCCTTTGACGGTATTCTACTAATGCACTCCCCTTCTGGAAGGATCTAAATTTGCAGTCAGCAGGAGAGAGGATTTTAGGCTAAGGTTCAGGAAAGATGTTGTAAGTAATGATGAAAATAAATCACTTAAAGAGGAAGATATAATTACTTCCAAGTTGCAAGGTTATTATGAGCATTTCTTTTACTGTAACTACTACTGGATAATTCCTCCATGGCACGATTGCTGGAAGTTAGCCTGTATATTAGCTTAAGAATAGATGTGGGCTATTTCTACAAAATACAGCAGTAGTTCCATTATGAACAACAATCATTCACTGGCTTATGATTTACTATTTCCATTACATTTACCATATGAACACATATAGTAAAATTAGGTCACTCCTTTGAAGCTCAAGATGGTGGAATTCACAAGCATTTATGATATCTAAGCGTTTTAAAATGTTACGGGCAAATATAAATAACTTCAAAAGACTAAGAACTACCCTTCAAACAAATAATTACAAACAATAATAGATTGGCAACCACAACTATAATTAAGGAATCTATTAATAGCTAATCTATATTAAAGGAAAATGTGTTTGGTTACACAGGTGACAGAGAATCTGAGAAGCTTAGAATAGTGACAGCAGGAAGCCACTCCCAATCCTGGACTGAAGGAACCATTTGAGAAGATGGTGTTTACAAATGCCCAGGGACTAGGGTCACTGAGACAGCCACAACCGTGGCAGCCTTTCTGCCAGGGACTGGAGCCAGGCCACTGCTACTGTCAGAGGCATCATCCACATCTGAGAGGCTTAGGGGGAGAAACCCGGGTCTTTTCCTTCCTCCCACCCTCCAGTGTTTCTCATTGGCTGAGCCCAGGTGGGGCCTAGGTGACCTGGGAGCCAGAGAAATCTGTTTGCAAGGGTGGGCACTGGTAAGACAAAGAGCAGAGCAGGTGAAGGGTGGGGAAGGAGTCTGAAAGCATACAGGCCCATGTATGATGTATTTTACACAGCATGGTCATCCCTTAGGCTAAATATATGCTAACAGACTATGTATAATAGAAATATATATATGTGTACATGCCTTTGCAGCTCTATATACACTCAGATCAAATTATGCCTTGTCCAGTTAAGTCAGGACTGTCTTTTTTATTTTTATTTTTTATTTTTCGAAACGGAGTTTTGCTATTGTTCCCCAGGCTGGAGTGCATTGGCACAATCTCGGCTCACTGTAACTTCTGCCTCTCAGGTTGAAGCTTTTCTACTGCCTCAGTCTCCCGAGTAGATGGGATTACAGGCACGTGCCACCATGTCTGGCAAATTTTTTGTACTTTTAGTAGACATGGGGTTTCTCCATGTTGGTTAGGCTGGTCTTGAACTCCAGGCCTCAGGTGATCGGCCCGCCTTGGCCTCCCAAAGTGTTGGGATTATAGGCGTGAGCCACTACACCCAGCTGCTAGGACTGTCTTAATGAATTAAGATTGGATTCAAATGAGCCATAAATAGAGGAGCTATTGCTCCTCTAGCTACCAATTAAATGATACTTTTAATTTTTCAAACCAAGAAGCATATCACCCAGCCACCTTGGGACAAGGAAATGATTTCCCTCTTCACATTTTGTCTCTAATCATAGCACTAGGAGCATGTAGTCTAAGATGCACAACTACAATTCTCATGACTGCGGAAATGCCTTGCAGCCCACCCATATGTAACTCATCAACTGTGTGGGTTTTGAAACCAATGACAACTAGCTTTAATATTCTTTGGTACTTTTCATGAGAATATAAAAGCAGTCCATTCTGAAACCTAGGCTTCACAAATAATAAGAAACAGTTATTTGGTTCCTCCTTTACAAAAGCTAGTGGTGGACGTGCTGAACCAGCCTTTTTCCCTCACTAATTTCCACCTGGCAGATGACAGAATAAAACATTCGTAGTAGACAGTGCTTTCCTTCAGAGACTGAAATGTACAGACACACAGAGAAAGCTTGAGGTTTGGCCTTCTTCAGATGTGAGCATTACACCACACAAAAAAACCTCGGAGAGTTTGAGAGGCAGCAAGAGTGCCTTTAGCCTGTGCTTTCCACAAAGTCTGATGGCTGGCAATGTGGAGTGGATCAGGCTGAGTCCAGCTGGGCATTGGCATATTTCCTATTTATCCCTCATCGGAGCATCTCACTGTAACACTCCCTTTATTTGTAAAACTTTACACCAAGAGGAAGTAAAAACATGGAGCTGTCAACTGTGCTGCCCTTTTCATCCTTACCTTTGTTGCAACGGAGTAAGGGTTTGGTTGAAGGAAAGGGAACTGTATGATGAATTCTAAATCATTATAACAAAAATGGGTAGAAGGGAGAAAAGGAGAAAGAGTGGGATAAATGAAAGGGAGAGTGGCTCACAAGGAAATTTCTCCAGCCAACGGGAAGTGTTTATTTCAACGCTACTAAGCTCTTCCTCACTCCCATGTCAAGGTTATTCACAGAGAAAATCTCCTAATAACATGTTATCAGCTCTGGCTAATCACCTGGAGTGTTAAAATAGCTAGAGGACCCAGTCTATTTAATCAGACTCTCAGGGGTGACACCTGGGTATCAGTATTTTTTAAAGATACCCCATGATTTCAACGTGCAGCCAGGGTGGACACTCTCTGAGGTTAGCCCCACCTTGGGTATATTATGGCTAAAGATTGAACAACAAGAGCCTTAGAGAGAGGTGATTGCTTTAACTGGTGATAAATCACAGTCACTATCTAAAGCAGTAGAGCCCACTAGGTATTGTTCCAGGAAATTTCTTCAGCCTCTGTAAGCCAAAAACTGACCCCGCAGCCCTTCCAGGGACAGACACTGCCTTCCACTCACACCCCTCTGAGCAGAGGCTCTCAGTGGGGGTGACCTTGTCGTCCTTACCTTGGGGGTGTCCTTGGGAAATCCATGGGGATGTTTTCAGTTATTCTTGGTAGCTCATATAAGAGAGGTTGATGACTCTTAGCAATATACAGAAAAGCTTAGATCTCTAGATGACAAGAAGTGTCTGGAAATACTATAGGCCTGCCTACCCTCTCAGGAAGGTGAGAATTACCTTAATGTATTCCCTAGGATTAACCGGAGGGCTTCTTGCGATAGCAGCTGTGATAGACAGAATAATGTGCCCCCAAAGATGTCCAGTTCCTAATTCCAAGAACATGTGAATATGTTACCTTACATGGCAAGAGAGGCTTTGCAGATGTAATTAAGATTGTGGACCTTGGGATGGGGAAATTATCCTGCATGTTCTGAATAAGCATAATATAAATGTGAGTCCTTAAAAGCAGAGGACCTTTCCCAACTGTAGTTAGTGAGAGGGAGATGTGCCTATGAAGAAAGGTCAGAGAAATGCACAATGCTGGCTTTGAAGGTGGAAAGGCTGGGTGCAGTGGTTCAAGCCTGTAATCCCAGCACTTTTGGAGGCCAAGGCAGGAGGATCGCTTGAGCCCAGGAGTTTCAGATCAGCCTGGGAAACGCAGTGAGATCCCATCTCTACAAAAAATAAAAAAAACTTAGCCAGGTGTGGCGGCATGTAACTGTGGTCCCAGTTACTCAGGAGGCTGAGGCAGGAGGATCACTTGAGCCTTGGAGGTTGAGGCTGCAGTGAGCTGTGATTGTTCCACTGCACTCCAGCCTGGGTGACAGTAAGACCATGTCTCAAAAAAAAAGAAAGAAAGAAAAAGAAAAAGATGGAGGAAGGAAGTCATGAGCCAAGGAATGGGGACAGTCTTGAGAAGCTGGAAAGGGAAGGGAAAGGAATTCTCCCTAAGCCTCCAGAAGAAAACATGAACCTGCAGACACCTTTAGCCCAGTGGAACCCATGATGGACTTCTGACTTATGGAACTGTAAGATAACTGTGTGTGTTAAGCCATCAAGTTTTCGGTGACTTAATACTGCAGCAACAGAAAATAGCAGCCGACTAAAACACAGCCAAAGTGGACCACAGTTGGAGGTCTCCTGTTCTGCTATTACTAGAATACAAAGCACACCTGGGTTCCTAAGGCAACTGAGAGACATGGAATCGATTTTGTGCTTTGGAAATATTGATTAGACGCAAGTCCCTAAAGTTCCCAGCATCAACATTTTCTCTCTTCTACCGTTAGTGGCTTTTGGGTGAAAAAGTTTAAGAATCACTGACAAGAGAATGGTGTCCTCATTTGTGTCATTTACACAATGGAACATGTGTCTGGGGCACAAAGACAAAGGAGACAACACCAAGAATCTGAGCCATGGAACTGTCTCAAGATAATATGGTATTCGAAGTAAATTTTTGTGGATATTTCTTTATCCAGAAGGAGAGTTGTAGTTTGATCCCTGCCTGGTCCTGGCTCTGTTGAGATTGCTCAAGATATTGGTCCATTTTCTGTTTCGGTCCAAGCTTGCTTGGAATCTTCAACCAACGGGGGCTGAGAATAAATGTCCCGGATTGATCTGTACCTCTGCTGGTATAGGTCAGGAAACAACGCTCCTGTGCTGACAGGAAGACTATGCATGCTATGATAGCCTCAGTCACCCTCTTCGAGAATCTGCGGGAGGAACAATCCACCTGTTTGATCCCCTTTGCTCAAAGTCCTCCTCCCCCAACCTCAAGGGTCTTTGTATCTGCCTGTTGATGCTCCCCACTTCCCTGGCTCTCATGACCTAACACCATGCTTAGAAGTCCCCAAATGATGCTACTGTCCTGCTCCCTTGGATGGAAACCCCTTGGGATTCTGAGGTAGTTCATAAGAGTAAACTGGAGTTTTGGTTTAACCAATACTCCTATGGTCTTGGTTGCTGTGAATCACCCATCTTTTCCCTGAATGGGGAAGGATTACCACTTTTACCCCTGATGGGTTCCCTGTTACCACCCATTCACTTCCTTGCCCTAAACTTCCTCTGATCTAGCAAGCCACATGACAGCTGTCCTCTTAGATCAATCCTGACAATACAGTATGCAATAGCCAAAATGTACGAAGCTGAAGAGAAATACTTTGCAGCTTTGTTTCTGATGTTATATTCAGTATTATAAACATATAGACTTGCAGACATCTGATCTCAGTGGAGATGGAACACAACTCCGTATATCGACATTGCAGGTTTGTTTATGCTCATTCAATTTTCTTCACAACAAATAATTCCCTTCCACCCCCAGCTTAAAAGAAGTGCCCTCTCCTCTTCCTGAGCTCTTGTTCATGTTTCTTCTTCTCTTCCTCCCTGAATTACTATTTCTCTCAGCAACAGCTTTTGCCTTCAGCTTCTTAGTGGTTTCTTCCCACTGCCTGTACACAAACCCAGATATGTGCATTAAAAAAAAAAAAAAAGTTCATGGGACCTCATTGCCTTTTCTAGTTTTTTTTTTTTTTTTTTTTAATTTCAGGCTGAACTTCTTTCAGGAGGGTTTGTGCCCACTCCCCAGCCTTAAATTCCCTACAATCTGTGTGTTACACCCACTTCTCAACCACAGCTGTGTTCTCTGGTGTCACCAGGGTTCTCCTAACTGCCTAATCCAGGGCTTCTTTTCAGGTTTTGTTTGTGTGGTTGATTGCTTTAGATTTTCCAAAGTTTTCAAATGGACAAAAACCAGGAGAGAACAGTATAATAAACATATACAGTTGTTACTTAGATTGAACAATTGTTACTATTTTAATTGTTTCATCCATTTTATCTGCTAAATTTTTATTCAGTAAATTACAGAAATTCTAACGTTTCACCCTGAAATAATTGTGTTCTTTCATAAAAAACAGGAACATCTTCCTACATACCCACATTATCATATCACAACAAGAAAATTAACAACAAATGTGTAATATCATTTTATACACACAGTCTACATTCCTATTTCCTCAATTATTCTGGACATGTCTTTACAGCTGGTACATTCAGATTGCAGTCATGGATGTCCATTGTGCTTGGTGGTTGTTTCTTGGTTTTCACTGATGACCTCACTCTAGCATTTGCTTCTGTTACACAGTTCCTTGTTGGAAGACTTTCCCTTGGTTTCCATAATATCAACTCTTCTTTCTCTTGGTCTTTTACTCCTGATCATCTGTTTTCTTCATAGACCTTCCTTTGCTACTTGTTTTTTCAGTGTTGGCGCCTCACAGGATTCTGTCCTTGGCTCTCCATTCTCACCTTGAACTAGCTTCCCAGGCAATTCTCCTGAATAATATTCCACTGTATATATGGATACCATTTATTGTGTAGCTACACCACCTTTTGTTTACCCATTTATCAGTTGATGGATGTTTGGGTTGTTCCTACTTTTGGGCTCTTATGAATAAGGATCATGTGTATTTGTATACAAGTTTTTGTGTAGACATGTTTTAATTTCTCTTGTGTATATACCTAGGAGTGGAATTGCTAAGTCATATGATAACTTTATGTTTAACATTCTAGGGAACCACCAAACTACTTCTCAAGCAGCTATACTGTTTTACAGTCTCACCAGCAATGTAGAAGTGTTCCAATTTCTCCACATCTTCACCAGAACTTGTTACTGTCTGTCTTTTTTATTGTAGCCATCATAGAGGATGTGAAGTGTTATCTTATTGTGGTTCTGATTTGTATTTCCCTGATGGTTAATTATTTGAACATCTTTTCATGTGCTTATTAACCACTTGTATATTTTCTTTGGAGAAATATCTATTTAGATCCTTTGCCAATTTTTCACAAGTTATTTGTCTTTTTTATTATTGAGTTGAAGAGTTTTTATATATTCTAAATAATACTCTCTTTTCAGAAATGTAATTTGCAAATATTTTCTTCCATTGTAGGAATTGTCTTCTTAGTCATTTTATATGCATAGGTTCTAGCACAATAGGCATTCAATAATGATTTATTGAATTCAGTTGAATCTCTCATAGGTCTAATCATCTTTTTTTACTGTCCACTCAACTTCAACTTTCTTTCTTAGAGTATAAGAAAAATACAAATAAAAATGAAGAATATAGACTCTTTGGACTGAACATTATTTAAAACTCCAAAGTATACGTGGCTTATGAACACTAGGTTTTAACAAATTACTTAACTTCTCCAGGCCTCAGTTTCCTCAACTGTAAATTGGAGAGAGGTTTTGGTCATCTGTAAGCTTGCTTCCACTCCAACATTTAATAAGTTTAACAACAACAAAAGTCAAGACCATTCCTGGTGGCATACAGGGCTCGAAGCAAACCACTTCGAATAATCACCGTGTCTGCCTTGGTTGCTGGTATATTCCAAGCACAAAGTGCTGTGACCTACCCATAATAAGTAATAAACTAGATAGTATTACTTAATTCCCATTAAGCTCATTAGATCCCATACCTGTAAAGATCATCAAGATGTTGATGACTCCCAAATTTGTACTTTAGCCTCGACTCTTTTCATGATGAATTCATTTGCTGATTCAACACTTCTATCTGCAGGTCTAACAGACTTCACAATTGTAACATGTCAAAAATAGAATTCTTGATTCCCCACTCTTCCTCAAACGTGTTTCCCACTCCCCACTCCACACCAGGCTTTCTAATTTCAGTAAATGGCACCACCTCCAATGAGATGACCAGGCAAAAAGGTTAGAATCATCCTTAACTGCGCTTCTTCTTTAAAAGTTATTCAATTCATCAAAAAGCTTTATCAGCTCTACCTTCAAAACACACCCAAATTTGATCACTTCTTACCTTCTCCACAGCTTACTGCTCTAGGCCAATCTATGACCTTCCCTTCCCTGGATTTTTATAGTAGCCTCCTACCTTGCATCCTTAAATCTATTCTTCCCCACCTACAATCATTTCTCCACATAGGAGTCTGGATGATTCTCTAAAAACTTAAACAAGATCATACCACCCTTCTGTTCAAAATACTCCAAAGATTTCCTATCACATTCAGAATCAACCCAGGGAGTTGCTGGTAGAGTGGTATGTTAGGCCTTGAACAGTTCAAGTGACCTTGCCACTGTTTTATGTTTCTTGAACATACCCAGAATGTCCTACCTTAGAGCCTTTGCACCTACTGATCTCTGCATGCAACACTGGTTCACCTGAGATTTTGCTCAGCCCACTCTCTTGCTTCACTCAGGTCTCTGCTTGAATGTCACAACTCCAGGTAGGCCTTATCCAACACCCTTTCTAAAAAAACCCCTCTGCAACTCATTGTCCCTTTATTCTGCTTTACGTTCATTCATAGTACTTAATGTTCCCTAAAAGATAGTACATGTTTGTTGGTTCACCTCTGTGTCCCTTACTAGAATGTCAGCTCTAGAATTTAGAAGGGCAAAGATCTCATCTTTGTTTCACTTTCTTTCTGTTCCAACTTTTATTTTCGGTTCAGAGGGTACAATGTGTGGATTCGTTACATAGGTAAATTGCCTGTCACGGGGATTTGGTGTGCATATTATTTCATCACCCAAGTAACAAGCATAGTACCCAATAGGTAGTTTTTTGACCCTCACCCTTCTTCTACCCTCCACTATCAAGTAGGCCCTGGTGTCTATTGTTCACTCTTTGTGTCCATGTGAACTCAATGTTTAGCTCCCACTTATAAGTGAGAAAATGCAGCATTTGTTTTTCTGTTCCTATATTAATTCCCTTAGGATAATGGCCTCCAGCTCCATCCATGTTACCGCAAAGGGCATGATCTCATTCTTTTTAATGGCTGCATAGTATTTCATGGTGTCTATGCACCACATTTTCTTTATCCAGTCCACCACTGATAGGCATTTAGGTTGATTCCAGGTCTTTGCCATTGTAATAGTGTTGCAATAAACATATGCAGCTAGATGCCTTTACAGCAGAATGGTTTATATTCCTTTGGGTATTTTTTTTTTAGTATAATAATAGGATTGCTGGGTGGTGTGGCAGTTCTGTTTTAAATTCTTTGGGAAATCACCAAACTGCTTTCCAGAGCAGATGAACTAGTTTACACTCCCACCAGCGGTGTATAAGTGTTCCCTTTCTCTGTGACCACACCAGCATCTGTCATTTTTTGACTTTTTAATAATAGCCAGTCTGATTGGTGTAAGATGATATCTCATTGTGGTTGTTTGCATTTCTTTAATGATTAGTGATACTAAACATTTTTTCATATGCTTGTTGGCTTTGTTTACTGCCTGGTTTACTGATGTATTCTTAGTACCATTTCTAGCACACGATAGACATTCAATGAATATTGTTGAATACATAAATTAATGATATAATAATTACTATCTGAGAGAAAGCCCTGGGTCTGTGTCACTTACTAACTGATTTGCCTTAGACAAATTATATAATCTCTCCAAGTTTCAGTTTTCATCCCTGTGAAAATGAGCTAGTAATACCTACTGTGAAAGACTGTTATGAGGATTGGAGATAAGGGATGAAGGTGCCTCATATTAAGTGCTCAGAGTAGATGGACTAGTTTACAATTCATAGACCTGTAATTACCCATAAAAGTAAACATTCTTCTTTATGCATTTGGTTGAAGGACGAAGGGGATCATCAAATCTGCTCCCTTAGAACCATAATTTATCAACAAAGAATGCCATGCTAGAAGCTACAGAAGGAAATGAATCAATTTCATTGCAGTAGGCTCAGAGAGCTGGGTTAGAGATACTCTGTTCAAATTCAAGTCAAACCACTGCTTTGTTCTGTGGACTGCAGCAGGGTTGGAGGAGATGATTCAAAATGACCTCAGCTTTTGTCTAATTTGGTCCTGTGACCAGACCACAGACAAGGCCACATCCAGGGAACTGATTTCCTTTGCAGCTCTCTGCTAAGAGGCCCACTGACATGATAAAATGCTGTGCAGCCATTACATATTACTCAGCCATAGGATGAGGCATTTCTACGTGTTTGGACATGGAAAGACCTTCAACAGGTATTGTGGAGTGAAAAATTCAAGTTGTAGATGAAATATGCAGCACAAATGCACACCAACAACACTCCATTATACTTGTATGCAGGTTCCTACGTCTGTATGTAAACACAAAGCAGAGGGTCTTGGAGGTAGAAACCATGTCAGTTACTCTCACTTCCTCAGAGAAGCGAGGAGGACTGGAACTGGAAGCAGGCATCAAAGGAGACTTCAGATTTATCTATAGTATTTGTTTACAAAGATAATGTGTTATTTACATAATTAGAAATTAACTTTTTAAAGCTGCTCGAGCAAGATGATGCTAACACACCCCATTTGAAGTAAAATGAAGGAATTTACTTTTCCCTAACTAGTGGTTCTCAAATGGGCAGTCTCTCCATCAGAAGATCTTTGGCAATGCCAACATTTTCTGGATGTCACAAATTCTCCACGGGGATACTGGCATTTAGTT